GACATGAACGTTGGCAATCAATGTCTATCACGTTGGCATTGATTCTCGTCCAGAAAACTGTTCGTTTAATTGCAGTAAGTCACAAGAACGTGGGGCATTTAATGTGTTGTAACGTCCCAGCAGCAGACTGCTGCGGACGTTCAACATTCAAGGGAGCAGTAGCCTGCTGCGCAGGGAACTGCGAACGTAGTAGTAGTAGCACGAAGGGTTTTTTGTCGTGTATGCACTCTGCACTCAAAAAAATAATCAACAAGGAACTTTGTCGTGTATGCACTCAAAATAATAATCAATACAACACTAATACGTAGTATAATGTAGTAAGGTTCGTATCCACAGGGAAAGGGATACTTCTCTTTTTATAAAACTGGAAATAAGTATTAAGGATTTTTTTTGGTTGATTGATGAACTTAAATTATATTTAAACACGAAGATGAACGACTTATGTGGTTTAATTAATGAGAAGGAGACTTGGCTTTGCTTTTTATCCACTTAATGAAGTGTTCGTCGATCCCGGTTATATCTTTAACTATCTTCCTCTCGAATACTCAATCGAGGAGTATATCCAATTCATCGAGGGTAGTTATTAATAACGAGACGCGTTCATTAATAAAACATACTACCGAGTCAATATAGAACATGCGCCGTATACTAACCCGATAGTAGCAATAAAATTAAGATGAAAACAATTGAGATTGATAACCTCAACACAAGCGGTTTATCGGTTTAATCAATATAATTAATTCCCCTTCGGTTATTAACCATGAGACGCATGCATTAACAACCCAAGTTTACTACCGTGAAAGGACCGAATTAATAACAAGCGTATTAATCGATCGATTCTAGTAATAATTAATATATGAAACAAAACTAGTTGATCCTTTAAGTAATGCTCAAAATATTAATATGAAATAGGAGTAGGAATTAATTAATATTCAAGGAAGAAGATTAAAGAAAATAACTCACAACTTACAATTCATTAAGCTTCAAAGTAGCAAAACCAAGATGGAAAAGTTTAGCTCCTTATTTGGAGACTAAACATGAAGAAAATATAAAGAAATGACTTGTCTAAACTGAGTTTAGAAGTATATGTGAATTGGTGATTTTATTGTGAAGGAAAGGGGTGTATTTATAGGGTTTTGGGAGCTGCAGGGTCTGATACCTGATCGGGTATCTTTGGAAATTGCCCAGAAAGTCACTTTTGTGTGCATACCCGATCGGGTATGTCGGCATACCCGATCGGGTATGTGACAAATCTTCACGAAAATTTGCTCCCACGATCATTTGTTCCCGGATTTGATTTGGACATGGTACATGAGTATTTTTTCCAAATCGAAATCTTTCTTGTCTCCTTGCACTTTTCTTGATCTTTTAAGGTCCAATCTTGATCCTTTGGATGATCTTTGACTTGTTTAGCTCAGAATAATCCTAATCTAAACAAATTACAAATAAAAATGAAAATAAAATATTACACCAAAAGTGTGCAATTTCCACAACTAGAACTAATAAAAACTAGTTAAAAATACAAACATACAATCGGAAATTACACGAATATCACCTGCTCCAACCTGGAGCAAAAAATAGGAAATTAACGGAGGAACAAAAATTAACGTTTATCTTTAAAAGATAGAATTTTCGGACGACATTTGTGTCCGCAGGTCGCCCGCGCACACAAGTCGGACTTTTTGTTCTCCGGTTTCGGGATTTGATTCGCACCCCCCTGCGCGCGTGGAGAGAGCCTTTACCCTAAGGAATCTTAACTCCTTAAGGGGAGTTTCCCTTTATAAAGGGTTCAAATTCCCTTGGGTTTTCCGGTGTGGGAAAAAACCACACTAGAAACCCATCTTTTCCTAATTTTCCCCATTCCAACGAATGAACTTCGAGAATCAATTTTCATTCACCCGTTATCCATTTTGAGTGTACCATATATCGAATTGTAGTCCTAAGCAAGGATAATCTGAAACCACTTTGACCCGACCCAAATCGGAAGAGGACCCCACTCAAAAAATTGTCCCAAAATGACCATTTAATGCAAATTGCAACACATTTTCCAACAGTAGATTATGTCCATAAAATTTCAGTTTAAAAATCGATTAGTAAGTCAATTAAATAAATTATTATTGAAAAGCAGTGCATTACACACACATATTGGCGCAATGTTTTTCAATAGTAATTTCTTTAATTGACTTCCCGAACGAATTATAAATTGAAATTGTGTGGACATAATCTACACTTATTGTAGAACATCATCACATAAATTTCATAAAAAATTCCATTGAGAACCGTCTCAAATGGCAGTGACCGAACGATATGTATACATATAGTGAGAAGATTACTCAATATATGCATATATGTATGTATATACAAATCTAATACAAGTTGTCATCCACTGCCCGCATGCCACCATAATAGCTCTTCATATTCAAATGCACCTCATTACTCTTTACTATTGTACTATATATTTATATCTATCATAGTAGTATATATAGTAACTAGTCGATCGACCCGTGCGTTGCACGGTTAATGGATAAAATTGGTTTATTTTTAAAATAATTTATTTCATGAGTCATGTGTATACACATAGTTATTGCAAATGAGAAATCAGACTTATCAGCCAACTTTTTCACCAAACACGTAATGCTTGCTTTCCCGTGCCGAGTTGTGTAATAAGCAGAAAGTAAGGTTATAGTTACTTTTCTGGCTGTATTGGCTGAAGTTGGTGTAGATGACCATTTTAGTTAATTTTACATATAATTTTTCTTTATTTTATTAATAAAATACTCTCTCCGTCCCATTGGACTTTGCCAACTTTCCCTTTTTGGTTGTCACAAAAACTTTTGCTACTTTACTATTAAAGCAACTAATTTGTGGTTCTGCACATTTCTCTTTCCTCTGCACAAATCTCAACCACACAGTTTTTACTATCCTTATTTCTCACTTACTTTGCACTTGGCAAAGTCCACCGAGACGGTGGTAGTATATTCTAAACATAATTTTTTCTTAAATCAACAGAATCGGCCAATGCAGCTACTTCAGCTAGAACTTCATATATTTTAGCATAATCAGTCAAATTAATCGATTTTCATGCTTCCAAACGGGCTCTTATTTTCTAAATAAACGTGCCAAATGAGAAGCTTAGGCCGTGACTTTATCCCACATGCAAATTCATTTTGGAAAAATGTTGTACGACACAATTTTTACTTTCTTATTTCATATTCAAATCAACTTTTGCAACATTTTAAGAAATCATGGAGAAATATAATATACGAAGTACTTTTTCTATTGAAAGAGGAGAATTATAATATACTATCATCCGTTCTTTAATTTTTGCAACAATTTGACTTTCACGTTTGTTAATGCACAACTTTGATTGTAATGGTATTTAATTATGTATTAGTAAATATTATAAAAAGTTGATATTTTAGAAATTCACATTGATGTGAATTCAATAACATTTTATACGTAATAATTTGATTATGTATATTAGTAGAAAATTATGATCAAAATAAGGTATGTGATCTGAATAGTGCAATTATCACAATGATGCAAGAATTAAAGAATGAAGGAAGTACTTGATAAGCATTATAATAAGGGGGTGTTTGGAACTGATTCCGCTTCTGCTTCTTTTTGAAAAGCAGAAGCAGAATCAGAATCAGATTTCAGAAGCTGGTACCCCCCAACTTCTAAAAAAACCGATTCTGAGAGTAAATTAGAGCTCCAGAAGTGATTCTGGAATTTCACCCAAACACTCCATCTTCTGCTTCTGCTCCATGAAGGAGCAGAATCAGTTTTGAGAATCAGATCCAAACATCCCTAAGTACTGTACCCTAGGGTTACTATGTAATTCTCGGGAAAATCACTATATATTATACTACTTAACTACTTCATAATAAGCTAGCATTATATAACTTAAATATGTAGGTTACAATAATTATTATAATGCTCCATAAATAAACATCTTAAATAACTTAATGTAGTAACCGTGAGTTACAAACTTACAATAATTAATATAATGCTCCATGATTAAGTATCTTAAATAACTTAATTAATAATTACTCCGTATATTTCTTCTATTGTCATCATCATATATGCTATTTAATGTTCCTAATAAAACATCAATTAAGACACTTTAATAATCGAATTGTTGGCAGCAAATACATTTTCACCTGAAATCCCACCATGTTACTTTTATATATATAAAGATAATACCAGAATAGTAAATATCTTTAAATGAGTTAAATATGAGAGAATGTAATAACATTAGTCTCTACATATTTACCGTTATATTACTTCATTATTTTTACTGCTACTATGGATAAGTAATAACTCTTATTTTCAGGAAATGTGTACTCATATATTTTGTAGTTAGAAGTCTTATTTTCTATTTGAGAAAACTTGAAATTTGATTCTTGTCAACCACATATAAGATGCGTCTAACCGACCTGGTTCCGATAGGTATGTATCCAGAATAAGAAATCTAGACTAGCCAAGTATATGGGTTAGATATGAAACAATATACTCCATCCGTTTCTAAATAAACATTCCATTTTCCTTTTCGATTGGTTCTAAAAAAGTTACATTTCCGCAAAACAATGCAAAATGGTGCAACACAGTACCAAAAATTGTCAAAACAATGACAAACGGTGTCATTTTTTTAATAAATTTTGTGCAAAACAAAGTGACACTTTTAAATATAGGCTTGTCAACTATTTAATGAGTTTGGGTCTCAAATATTACATTCTGACCCGTACCCGGCTTGATAGGCTCATAGGCCTAAATCAGCTTCTCAGCCCAGTAGCCAATTATGTGGGATTGGGATCCTCTACCCGACTAGGAGGGTGCCTTGCGCATCGGACGGGAGGGGAGCGGCCAACACGGCCTCGAGATCGGCAAAAAAGTGGAGCCCAAGATCTCCAACCGTTGAATTGTCGATCGGACGACCGGGAGGAAGCAATGCACTCTACCTTACTCTAAAGTAAGGTAGAGGTTCCGGATCCAATTATGTGTTACCAAAGGCTCTCTAGTTTGCCGCTTTTGCTACTCGTTGAAGTTGGGGATGATTGTTCGACCCTCTCCAATCCCCCAACGTATCCCGCGATTAGCATATTCCAGCTCTACTTTCCAAAGATCTTCAATGTCTAATGATTGCCAGGTTTTTTCACTTTCTTTTTTCAGTTGTGAGTTGTAGAAATGCACTCTAAAGTCATAGCTCTTAATAAGTATAAACTGAATGTAGCTCTCAAGCTCTGGAAACTCTCCGGAAAGAATACGTTTCCCGTTTCCTCATTATTTTCGCGTTTCCGTACAACGTAGGTAATTATTAATGAACTATGGGATAAAGGCGGGTCAGCTCAGTCAGTTGTGCACGAAAGGCTTCCACCAGCCTATCAGTATCAGTATGCTAGTAAAATATGGAGGAGGTTTGGGATTGCCATTGAAAACTTGTGCCAATGAAATTAGATGACCAAAAGAAACGTTGAGTTCATAAATCGTAATCTTCCTAATGAATTCACAGTTTCGCCTCATCTGGTATGTCAACTGGGAGATTTTTCATTTTCGGTAATAGGAAATTCTGGGATGCATTTCTAAGCAAGTTCATTCTTACCCTGTTTTTAATTATGTATTATTTTTTCTTGATTTATTAAAAAACGTAAATGTAGTTTGTAGTGGAAGATGAGGCCTTGAGCCATCCTAGCAGTTTTGCTCTCACTAAGGCTTTTTAAGAATTTCATTGCCCTCTCTGGCTCTCTGACTTCGCAATCTGTAGTTTGCACGCTTACAAAGGCCATGAGTTAATCCCCCCGCCCCGAATTTCAAGTGTTTTCTGCTATTAGTGAAAACTTTTACAGCACGGTAAATGCTTCTTTGGTATTTTAGAGAATGCCAATTAAGAGGCACATTTGATGAATAAGAAAGTCACTTTCAGGGGATATGAGAGATTAGGAGCACATCATCTTTTGAACCTTGGCTTGAATTTGAAGTTTAATGTTAAGAACTCGATCAAACAATTTCACATGGAAAATATTCAAAGTGGAGGCTATTCAAGGGGTGCTTTGGTTGTCTTCGAAGGGCTGGATCGTTGTGGAAAGACATCACAGTCTAGCAGATTGTTAAAATACTTGGATGAAACTGGGCACTCCGTTCAGTCATGGAGATTCCCTGATAGAAACACCTCTACTGGGAAAATGATATCTTCTTATCTTTCCAACCAGTCTTATTTGGATGATCATGCTATTCATCTCCTTTTCAGTGCCAACCGCTGGGAGAAGAGGTATGGTTGTCAGTCATGTGACCAAACTAATTGCCTTCTTGTATTCGCCAAGTAATGGTTGTGCTTAAGAATTGACTAATTTACAGGTATAGTAATAAAAGATTCTGTGTAGGACTGTGTAGTGTTTAGGGTATCTTGGATCTCAAAAAAACCTAAAGGACAATTATGACAAGGAATACAATATTAGTGTTTGACTTTACCTGGAAAAAATGAAATGTGACTACACACACATTCTTAGTATTTATGCACTCATATAAATATATAAATAATTTGACTTTGAACAAACATATACCACAAAATCTTCGAATTAGAGTCTATCTTTTATTTTATTTTAAATTTTCTCTTCTCCCAATTTTCTCTCTCTATTGTGTTCCATACAATGTGATGGGATCCTTCCACGGACCCTCGCCACGACAGACATGCCTTGAGCTTAATGGGGGCACATACCCCCAATAAAATCTGAGTTTTTAATTTTGAATAGTTGTGTTGTAGTAAAAAATAGTACTGCCCCAATGGAAAAAAGAGAATGCTCCATTAACTTCTAAAGTCTCAGAATTCAAACCAACTAATCAAGTATATATAGTTTCTCTATTTCCGTTGGGTTTCTCCCAATTACTTTTTCCTCTTCGTAGTTTGCTTTCGCATATATATCTTTTTGTAACTCATATTTCTTTTTAAATTTAGCTAGTTGTTGATTATGATTTCTACATTTATTTTGTACTCCCTCAGTCCCTCTCCCTTAAATTATTATTCTTTTCCTTTTTAGATTGTCCCAAATTAATTGTCTTGTTTCTTTTTATTTACAAAAATATGTTAATTGACCATTTCACTTTTCTATACTCATGCTCAATTATACTACCTCCGGTTTTTTTTAATCTTCACAGTTTTGACTTCACACAAAATAAGGAAAGAAATTTGACTTTACTGTAGAGTACACTGTTGAGGCACTGTTTGACACTGTAGAGACACTGTTTGGCACTGTTGAGACACTGTTTGGCACTGTTTGGCACTGTTTTGATGTAGATTTCTTTGCCAAAAAGGAAATAAGGAAGTGTGAAGTTTATTTTAGACCGTCCCAAAAAGGAAAGTGTGAAGTTTATTAAAAACCGGAGGGAGTATCTTTAATTTACTTTTTCAACCATTTTATTCATAAGTGTACAGAGAGTAACATTTCATTAAATACGATAGTATTAATTTATGTGATTGCAATAGCCAATAGGTGCTGTTTCATGGAATAGGATTCCAAAATCTCAACTCTTTCTTTTATTCTTATATCGAAGACAATTATAATAGTTCAGTTTGATTTCTTTAATTAGTGTCAATTTTGATAGGTGTTTTGGGTGTGTTGTATCTTGAAACTTTATATTTTGCGGCATTGGGGTAATGATAATGATGGTGATGTTTTTTTTGTAGTTAGTGCTCAAATTTTTCTTGAACAAATTAAGGCTTGGATGTTGTTGTTGTTCTTGATTGTATAGTTGTTGTTCTTGTAATGTTTAAACTATGAACCAAAGTCTTTCAAATTGCCAAACAGTAGGTGTTAGTGTTTAAATGATAACCTAACTGAAGATAAAAGAAATAATCAAGTACTCCGTATCATTTTGTATTAAATTTGAGATGTTAGAAGAGTTGTTGATCGGTTACATTATGGGTTGATAAGCATGATTACCTTGTTCTAACCTGATATAATTTATTGTTAAAATCAAAGGAAATGAAATAAGTAATCAATAGTTAAGGAGTTTAAACTATGTGAGTATTAGTATTTAATATCAAAACACCTTATGATAAGTATAATTTAATTTGAAAAGATGACGTTTGAATCTTTTTTATAATTATAAAGTAAAGAATAAAAATAAGTTTTTTAATGTGATGATCGTTGAATATATATTAAATTACTAAACCAATTTAGAAAACAAATAACATCATGTTCGGGTACATATGGAATCAATAATCCAGTGTAGGAAACAAATTAAAATGACCTGTGTATTGAATACTACTTTTAACAAAACTTTCATTAAGCAAATGTAGGTAACTCTAATAATTTCTATTATTATGACTACAGATATTAATTGGAGTAATGCATGTTTTAAGTTTGATGTATATTTGAATAATATTTGTACTATTTCATTTAGCTCATGCAGCCATGCCCCCAATAATAATTTATCCTGGATACGGTACTGACCCTCGCCTTGTGGGGATGCCAATGTTCACCGGGCTGCCCTTTTATTTTGTTCCCTACAATTCCATGGGTTCCGAACAGACCCTTCGTTAATGCTTAAATTCTTCCATGTGGTTTGAAATATCTTCTGAATGTCAACTGGAAATATTATTGCAGGTCATTGATGGAAGAAGCTCTGAAGAGCGGAACTACTGTCATTGTAGATCGATATTCTTATTCCGGGGTGGCTTTTTCATCTGCAAAGGGACTTGATATCCAATGGTGTATGGTACATACTAACATACGTTGTTGACTGTACTATGTAAATACAAGGTTTTTATTAGTCTGTGATGTTATGAGGCCTCTCAATGTGCAGGCTCCTGATATAGGATTGCTTGCTCCAGATCTGGTATTGTTTCTTGACATTTCACCTGAGGTAATCATCTTTTCAGATTGAAATTTGGAAATGGAGACGGTTAGAAGATGTTTTTACTTTCCATGGAAAGTGGTCAAGATATAATTTAGGTCACTTTTGGCAAGGGTGTCATTTTCTCATCTCCTCCCTTGCCATTCACTTTCATTTGAAATGATAGGAACTTTAAGCTAATGTTGACCACGATCCACCAAAGTTTGAAGAGTCAAAGTGTGTGGTTTATGATGGAAAATAAATGGGTGGAACAGTGTGTGCTTTTATTGAATATCCACATGGGTGTCCGGTATCTCAAACCTTCCGAGGATATCTTTTGAGTGAGGTGGCCCATTTGGGCTCACTTTGACATGGTATGATAGTCTAGGCCTAATCTCACGACTTTCACTAAGAAAGCAAGCATTCAATTATAATTAATAATAAACTCCCCCTTAACAGCATATAAAATTCTAGCCATTGGCACCAATATTGTGTGATTGCTTTTAAATTATATTTGGATGCATGCTTTGTCTGGGTGGTTATGATATCAATGATACGACAATGCACTTTATTGATAAGTAAATTATCTCTAAGTCACTAAGAATAAATTCATTATTGAAATACTTTAGATAGCAGCTAAAAGAGGAGGTTATGGTGGTGAGAGGTATGACCAATTGGAATTTCAAAAAAAGGTTGCCCAATCATACCAGGTCCTTCAGGATTCATCATGGAAGGTAAGGGACTTTAGTCCATGTGTGGCTCGGTCATTACATTTACAGGATTCATTTTACTTCGCTGCTAAAGTCGCAGTTAGGTTAGTAAGACATGTGAAGTAAACACGCACATTGCTTAAAAAGCCGCTTACTAACCGAAATAGGTGCTTAAAGTGCCGCTTACTAAGCATACCACCCCCCATGTATTAATTAAGCGGTACTTTAAGCTTTTTCAGTTTCCGAATTTACCCCTTGCCCTTACCCTTATTGTTACCCCCTACCTGCCCTACCATACTACCCGACCCCACCCTGACCCTGACCCTACCCACTACCTCCATCCATCCTCGTACCTTACCCCTACTCGACCATTACCCCACCCCCACCCCGCGTACCCATTTTCCCTACAATGACCCTACCCCACCTCGGCCCCGCCTCGATCCATACCATACCCCTACCTCGGCCCCACCTGATCCCGACCCCACCCCTATCCTACCCCTACCTTTACCTTACCCCAATCCCTACCCTACCTACCCGACCTCACCCAACCCCTTACCCACCCTACCCATACCCAAACCCTAGGCCCTTACCACCTACCCCAGCCCTAACACATCGGCCCCACCTTGACCCCACCCTACCCCCTAGGGCCCCTCCTACCCCAACCCCTTACCACATTGGCCCCACCCACCCTACCCTACCTTACTTGACCCCACCTCTACCCCTACACTACCTACCCCCAACCCCAACCCCTAGGCCCCTTACCACCCTTCCACATTGGCCCTAACCTTGAACCCACCCTACCTCTTACCCTAGGCCCTTACCACCCTACCCCAGCGGGACCACCCCCGACCCCACCCTGTCCTGCCCTACTCAAGTGGTGTATTGAGTGGGATTGGGTCGTGGTTAGTGGTAAGGTTGGGGTTGGGGTTGGGGTAAAGTAGGGTAGGGGCCTGGGGTCGGGGTAAGGTAGGGTATGGGAGTAGGGTAGGATAGGGTGTATGGTAGGGGTTTTGGGGGGTAAGTGGGTGGGTGTGGTGGTAAGGGCCTAGGGGTAGGGGTGGGGTCGAGGACGGGGTAGTGGTGGGGTCAAGGTAAGGTAGGGTAGGAGTATGGTGGAGTAGGGTGGGGTCGGGGTGGGGCTGATGTGGTAGGGGGTAGGGGTAGGATGGTAAGGGCCTAGGGGGTATAGGGTGGGGTAGGGGTAAGGTAGGGTGGTAAGGGGTTGGGGGATATGGGTACACATAATACTTGTGTTCATGAATGTTTGCGTGTCTATATATGTATAGGGTTATTTTGGACATTTTAATGCTAAACGATGTTTTAAACCTTTTGTAGTAAACACGATCTTACAACGTTGCTTATTTTATGCGCCGCTTATTAACGCGAGTCTTAGTAAACACCGTTTAGTAACCCGTGAAGTAAACATGTCCTTAGTCTTATTTTGTTCAAAAGGGGGATGAGAAATGAGGGAGATGGGGGGATGAAAGATTTCTATAAGTATGCGATGTTTGGTTCTAACTTCTAAATAGATTTTCCCAACCCAAAATTTAGCAATTAAAAACGCCTCCCGGTTGGCATAGTAAATTCTAGCTCTGTCATATAGTTCAATATGGGATTAATCTCACGACTTTCCTAAATATTGATGTGTAATTAGAGTATCTCCAATGGTACAATGTACACGGTGCACACGTGGCATGAGAGATAACCACATAAATATAAGTAAATAAAATCTTTCTCTCCTTATTTAAATGATTTTATACAGTATTGGTAAGTTTTTCTCCACATTGTCAAGGAGACCGTCTAGATGTTGACATTGTTGTTGACATTGCAGGGAAAAACTTACCAAAATTGTATAAAATCATTCAAATAAGGAGAGAGATAATTTATTTGCTAATATTTATGTGGCTATCGATCATGCCACATGTGCACCGTGCACATTATAGCATTGGAGATGCTCTTATTATTTAAGAAAATCTGCTATTGTCACCACCACCTTAATCTCAACTACTGGGTGGGGTCTTTGACATGAAATTGATAGTGTTAATTAATAATTTTAAGTTAGTACCAGTGTAAATGTGTGTAAAAAACAGTGGGGTGTAAGGTGTTTACTTGAAATTGATGGTCAATTATTTATTCTAACAGTTACCCATATAAATGTGTGTAACAAGAACAGTGGGAAAGCTTTACATTGATACCCTTTTTTTCACAACCTTCGAAAGGAAGAATAATACTCCGTATTGAGTAGTGTTTTAGAAAAGTATGTAGAAATAATGTATTACATATAATTTCCGTCGTAATAGAAAAGAGCTGCTCCATAATAGGAAATAAGACTACATTTATGGGCCCCATCAAGTCCTATCTATTGACCTCTCTTCTATTTTGCTGATTTAGATTGTAGATGCAAACCTTCCCATTGAAGACATCGAAATAAAACTGAGAGAACCTGTGTTGGAATGCATGAAAAAATGTCGAGAGGGGAAACCCTTGTTACCGTTGTGGTCGAGCTAGCTTAGTTTGTTTATGCCTTCTTCTCATAAGGGTCCATTTTCCTGTGTAACATTACAGTTCATGCGGTGACTTCTTAGCAATAGATATCATCACTTATCAAGTTAACAGTGACATTAATACTGATCTGATGTTTCATTTTTCTTTCTTTTTTCTACTCTGGTAAGTGTAAAACCTCTGTGTCCCAAAAACATTGCTCTGACCAAGGTACAACTTTTAATTCAATGATTGAATAGGGGTGGACTTGGAACCGAAATTGAAGGGATTGGACCGTACTGGCACAGTGGCACCAGGAACCGCTCCAAACCGGGTGCAGTTCCGGTTCCTCTTAACTGGGACCGGACCGGTTAGGTTTATTATTACGGAGTAATTTATTACTGCGTATTATTGTTATTGTTTTAAAATAGGGTATTTGGACCCGTTTGGGACCTGAACCGGGTTTCACCCGGAAATCTTGCTTCCGGTTCCACTTCCGGTAAGGGAATATCGGACCGGGAGCTGGTCCGGAACTCTGGAACATTATTGTAGCTCCAGTATGTGGCAATGTTGAGAAAATTGGACTTGTCACCAAAGTGGAAAAGCCAACAGATCAATGGTAAAAGTGTAAAACAGACTCAATTCGGTGGAGGTCATGATTCCTTTTGTTTGGGTTGGGTTGGGTTGGGTTGGGGTGAGGGTAATGGTATGCATGTTGACCACGCTTGTTTTAAATGGGCAGATGTTATAATGCTTCTGAATTAAACGCCAGTCTTGGTATTGGTTTATATATTTCTCTATTCTCTTACAAAACATCAATAATTTACTTTCTACTTTTTTAGAACGGTTTCAAGTCTTGGTAGAGTTCATAGTTGCACTATGCTGATGGAGTAGCTACCAAAACGTGTTTTGATGTTACGTTTACAACATTGTTATTTTGTAGTTCAAAAGAGTTTAAGAGCACTTTAGAAGGCCAGGGCGCGAGGCCCCATTATAGAAGCTCTCCGGATTAATGGGACCTTCAATGTTTCTCAGAAATAAATTAATATTTTAATTTATACTCGGTGTAACAAAGTAGTAAGACAACGTAAAATAAATAAATAAGAGCATCTCCAATGGTGGTCTATTCACACTAATAAAAATTTGCACATCATCACCGTCAACATTGCTTCTAATATATAGGTCTCCAACACACTCTTATAAAGCTGACCTATCAAAAATTAATGTAAACACTGTCAATTTGACTTTTTTTTTAAACCGTCAATTGTTTTAAGATCCTTCATGACATGGTGACTCGCCAAACTTGAAGATGCATATACATACACAATGGCACCACTAATCACATGTGTGCTTTCCCAAGGTTTTCAATAATAAGATTTAGCTTCATATCATAATGATGAAGAAAAACAGTACTACGTATATTATATCTATAAAGCAAATTAAAAATCAATTTAAGCCACATATATTAAGTAAAAGGAACATTCTTTAATGTAAATGAAAATTCACGTTCAGTTTACTTCGGATGAAGAATTTAAGGACCTGAAAATGAATACTGTGCAAGAGAACACTAAAGAATAAAGCAAAACTAAAAAAGACTCGATAAAGAATTAAGATTGATCTAAATTCACTTGCTTCAAATAAGAACTATTTATGAGATCGATTATGATACGATATAGAGAAATCATGTGGTTTGGGTGGATTATTATATAAATTTAGATCGTGTTTTCCAATAAGATCTAAATTTACTGGCTTCAGTCCAGTGAACTATTTACTAATAAAATGGATCATCGGAAATTAAATACTCCCTCCGTCCCAAAATTAACTTCTCACTTTCCTTTTCGGGCAGTCCCGAAATTAACTTCACACTTCAAAACTTTCCTTATTTGGCAAATAATCTACATAAAAAAATGTCAAACAGTGTCCAAACAGTGTCCAAGCAGTGTCAAACAGTGTTTAAACAGTGCAAAACAGTGCACTCCACAGTAAAGTCAAATTTATTTTCTTAATCTGTGTGAAGTCAAACCGTGAACTTAATTACGGGATGGAGGGAGTATTAATTTTCAAACATTAGATTACTGTGATTGTATGATCAAAAGTGACTGGCAGGAAACACTAGTAAAAAAATGGCTTATAGTGACACTAAATTAGTGTCACTAAACGATTTAGTGACACACTGAAAGTGTCACAGAAAAGCGGGGCAAGTGACACAAAATTTAGTGTCACTGATTGCGAAACAGGTTAGTGTCACAAAATGATGACAATAAAATATCACATAAAATTATGACGTTATAATATCATAACCTTTTTGACACTGTGGTATCATAAAGATATATGATACATTAGTATCATAAGTATGTATATATATATATATATTTCAAAATATATATTTATATATTATATATATATATATATATATATAATTTAATACTAATAAATATTCAAAATTCAAAGATTTTTATTTATATCTCAATTTCTCACATAAATGTGAATATACATACTACACCCCGAAACAACAACTAATATACAAGAACAAAACGCTAACAAGTCTAACTTTTACACCACACTTCCTAGGGCCTTCACATATCTTCTTTTGCAGCCACTTGTACAGAATGAAACCAGTTCTTATGCTACCAACTTCATCGTTTGAAACCTCACTTGCTTCTATCATACTTCACCTGCAAAGTGGAGATTACAGTAATCACACACTAGTTCAACTTAGTACATCTTTCCTATAAATATGTAAAATTTCAACTCTAAACTACAAAATAAAACAACTAAGCAAAAATGGAATTACAAAACACAATAGGCTGCTCCCAAAATTCTAAACAAGAAAATAAACAAGAAAGAAAGAAAGTGGTGAGTTACTACTGTCAATGCTTTACCCCAGGTCAGCTAGTGATATAGCTAGTGAATTGTACTTTTACACTTCACCTCATATGCTAGTGCAGAAAGCATACCTCTCATAAACATAAAATGCTCTCCACTAGCTTCAGCTAAGCCTGCACTCCTGTTTGTCTGCTTGATGAAAACAGTCATAGAATATCTAAGTTCTAAAAAAACAATGTTGCCTGCAACATAACTTAAATTAAAACTCATGGAAAGCGTTGAACGTAGAGAGGTATATATCCTTTAAAAAAACTATGTTTCTGCCCATTCAAACAAGTAAAAAATTTAGCAAATAAGTAAGAAAAAATGGCACAAAAGAATTTCACATGAACTATTAGTTCAATACCATCAATGATTTTCTTCATGAAGTATTTGCTATTGCAGTCCCAATGTGTATAGAACTCCTGATAAAAGTGGTAAAACACACCAAATAAGCAACAAGGTGACAATCGAAAAGTAAAGCATCAATGGATGAGTTAGTAAATTTAAAAAGGGACAGATGAATGGGAAGGATATGAAAGGGAGATTATTTATCAAGCATCAATGGATGAGTCAGTAATTCTAAAAAGGGACATATGAATGGGAAGGATATAAAAGAGAGATATGAAAGGGACAACTTTTGTGGAGTTGGCTAATTTCCTTCAGAAGTTAACATTTACTCTCTTTATTTGCCTAGCATTTTCTGAGTTCTAAATTGACCCTACAGTAAAAAGTTATTACCCTTCTATACTCAATTAGCTTTTAATTCAGGTGACCTCAAATGAAGCATATAGTGCAAGAAAAAAGGTGTGATCTACCATATCAAGGTTTCTCTTTCATTCTGCACAAGTCATGTGAATAGAAACTACAAAAAGTGAAAGGAATAAACACAGCCAATAGATATTAATAACAAAATAAACAATAACAACAAGAACAATAGGTTCTATTGAATTTTAGTTAGTACACGTGCCTTTTGTAAACTCCATATGCACAATGATTTTAATATTAAACTAATTCTGAATTTTGTTTCCCAACTGTGGAATTACCATATTGGCATCTGGAAGTTCTTTGAGAGCTTCATCAATATTTTCAGCTGTTTTTTTTTCACCTACAAAATTTAAACATAGTAAGCAGAAACAAGAATGACAAGTATATTTGGTAATTGTGAACTTCTCTTAAATGACTAAAGTTGCTAAAATTTAAACTTCTCAAAAGTGATAAAGCGAAAGGCCTTTGGCACATCCAACGCCATAAACATTTCAACATTGAAAACAAATACCAAACTACATCCCCAACTTTTAATAGGACCAGAAAAAGAAAAATAAGTAAAAATTGGAAGACAACTATATTTATCAAATCAAAATAGATCAAAATATCAATCACAATCTAACGAACCCTCAAAGAATGAAAAGACAAAAGTGCATTTCTCGATTTAAAATGAGCAATAGATTAAACTGAAATGTGTATAACCTGAAATGCAAGACGATTTATTAGGTAGACATGGCACCCTTTTAATAAAATCTCACTCTAGTGTCCCATTCCTTGTTTTTCACTTTATGGTCTAGATCATGACCCGAAAAGTTTAATATCTATAGAAGAACTAAAATAGAATAACTAAAATATATAACACACAAAGTAAGAAGCTGATTATATACTATATTCACCGAAAGAAAACAACATGTTCCCACCCAAAACATTACACTAGAATCAGATACTGAGGTTGAGGAGATTGAAATGGAACCAAAGAAGCATTTCATTAGGCAGTTCCAGGACATTAACTAAAAGCAGCAGGACTATCAATCAATCCCAAATTGAAGACTAATACAGATACATAATATCTTAACTATTTCTAACAGCTAAACCATACAATTACTAGATTTAGAAATTGAGCATTTGAACTAACCCCGCGGTTAAACACGGCTACACAAAGCCCAGTAGCGAGACCAAGAAGACATCCAACTAGGAGGAGAGCCCATTCCGGCGGCGCACTGTCTCCGAGGACTTCATCCTCTTCGATATCATTATTGCGAGAGCCTGTGGAGTCAAAACCGCGACCCAATGGTGAATAAGAGGGAGAGGAACGATCCCTATTGGGCCGTTTTGCGGTAGGAGATTTGCGACCAGAAAGGCTTCGATACAAACGCTTCAACAGATCCGCAATGCCTTTGTTCGGAGCCCTGGGCGATGACGGAGCCTCTAAATCGTTTTCTTTCTCGGTCGCCGATGAATCAGATACCAAGAACAACAAGTGAAAACAAATTATAAGTCACGAATAAAAACCAAACATAGTGGATAATTGGTCGTGGAAGCTCTGCTAGGGTGTTGCGAGTAAGAAGAGAAAGAGTGATGTTAAAGTTGATTCAGACTTCAAAGGCCGGCCCGTTTGTAATATGAACAGTGGTGCGGGCCTTTAAGTTTACTCCGCAAAAAAAGTAGAGTGTCACTGATGATACTCATCTATTTTGTTAGAAAATGGTGACACTTTTATGTCATTAATAACATTTTAATAGCATTTTATAAAAAAGTGTCACTATCAAAGTGTCACTATAAGCAGTTTTTCTACTAGTGAAAGAAAGAGAAAATAGCATTTCGTGACTGAGAAAAGGGCATTGGCACGGTAAGTCCAGACATTGAGATCGTCTCCATCAGAGAAAAAGCGCTTCAGCAATTGGAAAATGATAATCCCGATAATTAGCTCAAATCAAATGATTTAAGACTGTTGTTTTACTGACCTTCGCTTGCTGCGTGAGCAAGGAGGCATCTCTGCTTCTTTGAAAGTCTTTGAAACCTTATTCTTCTTCTTCATTTTATGGTCTTCAAAGATGAGTTTCTGCTTCACACGATGTTCTCCATCGTTGTTTTTCTT